CGTGATCAAGGCGGATGCAGCGTGCCAAACGGAAGAAGCTGGACCGAGTGGGAAGGATGCAGCATGCCAGACTAACGATGCAGTGCCAACTGAGGAGGCTGTTGAAGCTTGGGATGTTGCGCGCCAGACGGGTTGGAGGGTTTTGGTTCCTCGTCGGGTTTGCCTACAGGACGTAACGGCTAAAGTACTGAACTGCAAACCCCGTACAGGTGAGAATGACGTAAATGCTAGATGATGTAAATGGCGCTTTAAAGGAGGCAAAACCCCGACTGGACAATTAGCATAAACAGCTCTAACAAAAGATTTACAGGCATGCACTATCAAGCTGGCGCCAGCGTGATTCGATTAAAAAAAGGTAACGGAAGCAAGGAGTGCCTCTCTGAATTTGTACTCTGTTACATAACCCGTTTGGGAATTTGCCGCCTGGTTTCTAGTAAGAATTGCCTTATTTGCCGCTATTTATTGATTAATCTAACTTCATTAATTATCCTCTGAAGGGAAAATATATTAACAAGAAAATACGCAGGCGAGCTTGCATCAGAAGCCAAAAAAGATCCAGTTGCGAGAGAACGAGTAGGTGGTTTTGATAGTTAGTAGGGAAAACTCATTTAATATGCATCAATTTCTTTCGTCTTTTCGATACAGTTTCTCCGTTTAAACCGCAGTCTATAAATTCGAAAAAACTTTTTGTTGCAGATTGCAAATCAATAAAAAAATGAAACAACTAATAGATGATTAATAGTTCTGTCAATAATCACATCCGCTGTCGTATTATCCTCAGAACCAATTATTTCAGGTATTTTCAACGGATCAGGCATATCAGTATACTGATGTTCAACTGTTTTCGAATCATGAACGACCGCCCGAAAATAAAACAATAAGCGACTTTGAACAACCGACTAATAAAACACTGGATTCATTTAAAGGCCACGGTCGAGAAAAAATAGAAGCTTATTTGAATTGGTAGCCTCATTTTTTCCTTTGTTTTGGTAGACAGAGACTTGAAGAAGGCCTCTCTAACGTGGAGGAGTTGGAGCCAGGATCTCATTCAGAGTGCTACGTGATAGCATCCCGTATGAGCTGGAAGCAGTTCTGCAGCACTTCACCGCTCGGTTTGATGAAATGTAGCATGACTAAGCTGAGTTTGGTAACTAATTCCTTTCATGCATGTGCCTATTTAAGTAAAGATGGGCTCTCGGAGTAACCGGAATTAGCGCAGAAAATGGCGAGTGCACGTTATAGAGAAATAATACCGCACGCATCCGGTAAGACACTAAAATGAGGAACGGTAGTGGCGGAGTTTATTCTACTACCAGTTTTTCTGGTGCAGTTTGGTCGCGCACAAATTTGAAGATGTTCCCAGTAAAAAATTCAATGATTCTGAAAGGTGAGAGTGCTTCCGAAAAAGAGAGGAGGAGCTTTGAAAGGGACATGTCGTTCGTGTCAACCTCGGCTGGGGAACTGTGAAGTCCCCTTTTTGTGCAAAAAGCGTGTGCTTCGCAGTTGGTGTTTTATAAGCAACAGTGAGACATTATGGACAGGCTTAACATTTCCTAAGAATATGAAGATAGAGCAGTTGGTGGGGATTATAGAACAGCAGTATAAATTAGTCAAAACAATGACGTCTCGCCTGTGGTGCAAAAAATGTCTAGTTATCCAATTTCGAGGTAAATTTTGCGGCGGTGGCAGTAGTAAGAAACTAAAGACTTGTTTGAGCTTTTGTAGCAACAGGAGGGCAGAGAGGTTTATGAGATAGAAGTGGTCACAGTGGTACAAAGCGTCGTTCCCATACACCTTTTTCCATAAAAATTCATTCTTTGCGTTTTGCGAAAGCGCTCGCTCCGTCTTGTATCTTAATTTGTAGCCTCCTTTAAAATTTGCCGTAGAGATTCAATGGTGTTCTTGCAAGCGCCGGTCCCAAGATCCATAAATTGGAGGCTGTGGTTAACAGTTTCTTGCTCATACCCTTTTTCGTAGGAAAAGATACATTTAGTATTGTTAGTAGGACGAACATAGAAGGAATGTCAGTTTAAAGTTTCTTTTTGAACCTGGTGTGCTGAGCGTGGACGTCCTCTCACGTGGATCTTTTATGCAATTTAAATTCTGCGAGTATGTTAGTTTATTTTCTTCCAAATGTAGTACAATTAATATACAAAGAATTTGGAGTATCGATAATCATATGAGGAAAATAGTGTAGGGAAATTAAAATAAGTTATATTTACTCTGAGAAGCATCAGTCCCGAAAGCAGATGAAGGGGAGAGGAAGAAGCTCCTATTTTGATTTCTTCTTTTCTTATACTCACCATTTTACTCGAGATACTACGAACAAACTAATTATACAATAAAATATGCTATTATATCGGTATTAAATATATTATTTTACTACAATGGCAATTATTTACAAACGAGAAACTGTTTATCATTCATCTGATAATCACAGTTTTTAAGCGTGGTTAAAGCTGCGTTACTGCTGCTAGAAGAAAGAGTAGTTGGTAGCTGGATCATAAGCATCTCTGTTGATCTCAGTCAGCCCAAAGCAAAATGTCCCAAATCTTCTTCATTAATCATAATGGCTCATAACAGGAGTCGCCCACGTCCTTACGAAGACGCAGTCTCTTCCCATTAATCTTGCGATTGTTTGCGCTTCAAGCTTTTTTTTATTCCTTTCGTTCAGTAGCAGACCACATCACCAACTCAGCTATACCCTTCTGGCATGTCTTCGATGAACTGGACTCTCATCCACTTTTAATGTTCTGCCCTTTTTCTTCTTTTTTTCATTTTTTTGCATGTCTTTGACATTGTCTAATCTAGTGTACTTTTGTTGGAACTTCTCCAGGTTCAGCCTCTGCTTGTCAACAGTTAGACGTTTATGCTGCTGACGGCGATTAACCCCATCTTGGAAATGGCCAATGTCTGCCCGGAGACGGCATATTGCGTTGGTAGCAGCTCGCGTTCGTTTCCTCTCAGCATCCCTCTGCTGTTTTGAGGCTTGTCTCACCAAGTAACTGTATAAATGGTCCCGAGCATGAACTAAGAAATCAAGCTGGCTCATTTTTACAGGACCTGCATTACACAGCTATGATTTGAGGAGCTGCCCGCATACCTTTAGATACTGAAGGTTCACTTTGTGTTCTCCGCCTAATGACGTCTTGTTATGGTTACTCACAGCAGGTGCGAAATATCTGAGGAATCTTCCTCTTATTTGCACTGAGCATTTCCGTCGGTTCCTCAGTTTCAGCTTGGCCTTCAAGGTTTGACAGACTCGGGACACACATGGTTTTGCTTGCGGGGATACCTCTACTTGGTTCCTCAAATTCAATAGCAAGACTCGCTGTAGCAAACTCACCCTAAACTCATTTATGCTGCAGCTCGTTTCAGTACCTACGGTGAGGTTTGCGGTTTTCACCATGTTTATTATATCATTGTTAGAGCGCACGCCGAAGTCCACTCGCTGCAGACTCTGATTTTCGCTTCAACCCACATCATTAGATCCATTTTTCAGCCCCGACTGGGTAGCCAATCCAGTTTTCTCTTGGCTGCCCGGCTAGGTCACCGCAGTAAGTCGGCGGTTCTCGTTTTGCAGATTTCCTCTATCTTGTTTGTGGTGGATTACTTCTGCTTTGGCACAGATTGACGTATATTTCGCGTAAACGCCTGCCTTGGATCTGTCTGGAAAAGATTCTGAAAAGACAGCATGAATCCGCGGCCATTTGGTTTTTAAAGTGAGTCTGGGTGCATTATGATTGACCCTGCTTACTCAATGCTTAACAGCACAGAAACTTCGCTATCAGCCCACCGACGAGCCGAAATTCGCGGTCTAGCCGACGTATCACTCCTAACGCCTAAGAGTCTTCAGACGTTACACACGAGAAAATTTGTATTGTATGTATCGCCAGAATTAAAGGTGCTGATCTCACTTCGTATAATAGTTTGATTAATGCACTTCATTAAGCATACAGGACGCAAAATTCATCTAGTCGAAGTTAAGAAACCACTTCCAAAAACGGGCATATACTCTTGCGCCAATGTGGGGTTGTCCAAACCACTGTATCTACGTCAATCAGTTCTGGTGTGTTGCCCAAAATTTACCTTTTTTTGTTCAACTATCAGCCTAGCTTTCTTAGTTCACTCAATGTTGTGCAGTCTGGGGACCCGAGCAGCTAAAAGACAGCTTGGCCATTCCTCGAAGAGCTTCTGTATCGACTCTACTTAAATAACCTGGTTGTCGTTTATTTCAATTTTGATATTGATCTCAATCGGAGTACATGATATAGCAATAAACCGATAGCCACTAACCTGAGGAATCAATTGGTGTCAGAAAATCCACAAATTTTCAAGAATAAACCAGGTAAACAATGCCCTAATCGAACGTTGGCCACCAGTTTTAATGAAGTTGCCGGCCAACC